GGGCCGGAACTCCGCAAGCTGTTGGCTGATGAGGAAGAAGGCGGTGCGTCGAAGAGAGCGCGCAGCTCCTCATTGTCCTTCTCATGGTCCGACTTTGCGACGCCGAAGTCGGCGGTGCGGGAGGCTGCTGCTGGCTGGAGCCTCCGCGCTGTGGCCGAGACGCTGAATCGTCTGCTGCGGCGACTGAGAAGTGGCGTGCTTGGGCCGCTTTCGGGAGTGAAGGTGGAGCGTCGGGAAGAAGAGCGTGCCAGTGGCAAGGCTGTGCGGCTGATCGACTGCCCCGAGGACCGTGTGATTGATGCGGTGGCCCTCCTGGCCAGTCTCGACGATGACGATGCCATGGCGCTTGGTTTGTATTGCCTTGGACTGAGTCCGTCCGCCTGCGATGGAGTTGAAGTGAGGCAGGACGCTGCACAGCTGCTGAGTCGGATATCGGTCCAACCGGCGAAGCTTCTGAGGAACTTCTCGGTTGAGCGCTTCGCCGTCATCACCCGCACCTGCGAAGCGGAAGCGGAACTCGGATTCAAAATTTGCCGACAGGTAGCGGGAATCGGGAGGTCGCGCCTTCCCGATGTCGAAATATTGAGATCAGATTGCCTCCCTTCCTCACCACCATCCACTCAGCAGCGATCGTACCAACAAGGCCGTACCTACACCGAAGGCAGTCTATGGGGCTCAGCATCCGGAACTCGGTGCACGGCTCCTGATGCCGATCGCATTTGTGCCTGCAGTATCGATGGCGGCAGCCTGGCGCACCAAATTGCCCGCAGGTCTGTTCACGCCCTGCGGACCAACCTGCGGGATAGGTCGAAATTGCGCTAGCTGACAGTTTCCGAATGCGCCTCTTATTTGCTGCTTGCACCACGCTTCCCCTCTGAGCCTGGAGCTGCTCCTCCTCACGGATGAACATCCACTTTGCCAGAACAGCTTCCTATGCCAAAGTGTGCCGACACAAACATCCAAGCACTCGTGCCGCTGTGCATGGAAGGTCACGGCCGTGTTCCTAGATCTCTCGGCCCCCGTCAGAGCGGGCATCGAAGCAATGTGGACCGAGGCAAGCCACCTGTAGCGATGCTTCGGATCCACAGAGCCCGGGACAGTATCTCGCAGCTCCATCATATTGGAGCCTTGGCTTCCCACCTCCATCATCCCCCTTTCCGCCCCTGATCGCCTTCCGTTTCATTCCAAGAGCTGTGCTCTTCGGGTCCCTCCCTGCCCATTTGTTCATCACTGCACACTGTTTCGATCGCTCGGTCGTCTGGACGAACCATCAAAGTAATCGGATCATCTGCGTGCTTTTTCTCATACCCTGCTTCTCTCCCATCCCTGCTCCCTCCTTCCCGGCTTCCGACCTCGTCTCTAATCGAGACGATTGCCTCTCCCACCATTCCCACCCCACTCACCACCCGAGACGATGCAATGGCCCAACAAACGCGTACAAACAGGCGACAAAGCCGACTCCGCCCTCGGAGCGAGCAAGAAAGTCACGTCGAGACGGCGCTGGCGTCTATCTCGCGTGCACCTCTCGCTTCGCGTCCAACAACAGCACAGCGCGCAGTCGTCCCTGCGTGCCAAGCTGGCCCTTCCCGCTTCCCGGACCACCAGCCAATCCTTTCTCCTTCGCGCAGGCACACGAAAGCCCAAGCTGCCAGCCGTGGCAGCCAAGGTTTCCGTGGCAGCTCCGCGAAAAGCATGTGGCTGCTGCGCTCGATCCTCGTGGCTCTCCTTCTTCCGTACGTCGCCGCCCTGCCCTCGAGCTACGTATCGGACCCTCGACGATCAGCACGCCTGGAACCAGGATCAGCTCGCCACCTTCCTCAACCCCGGAACTACCAGCCAGTCGCGCGCTCCCAGCTCAAAGTGGGTCGCGACCTCGCTTCCACTCCAGCTCAACCAGGACATCTGGATCGAGATCGATCCTCAACCGCAGATGGAAAGAGGCGCGAGCTTGACCCACAAGACGTCCTCCGATCAGCTCGTCTGCGAAGAGACGAGGTTTTCCCCTCTGTTGTAGCTATCGATGCTGCCTCAGATGAGAGCGCTCAAGACGATTCGGGACGTACCCTCACCATCGTCTTCGAGAAAGCCGACGGAACCGAGTCCAACGTCACTCTTACCCCGCCCAGCCGACGCTGGGGACAAACAGCCACGTTCATGCCCGCACACAACATTGTTCTGGTCGTGGGTGGTCAGACGAGCATCTCTGGCGACATCACCAATGACGTCTATGCTCTCGACGCTTCGCAGCTGACTCCCTCCGGCCAGAACACCTCTGCCAGCTCCCAGTCTTGGCAGAGACTCTCCTCGGAAGGCTTGCCAGCACACGCTTTTGCAGCCGCCACCTCGGCTGTGGATCCCGCCGATGGTTCTGAGAAGCTCTGGATCGTCGGTGGTGTCACACAGAGCTGCGCTCAGGACGCTCCCGCCTACGTTTGGTCCGCCCCCGTCGGCAACATCACTGCCGGCAAGTGGACCGCAGTATACACCGACGACGGCGTCACACCCAGCCGTCGTCGCGGCGCCAAGGCGGTCACGATCACCTCGGCGAACGCGACCTCAGTCATGGTTTCCGGCGGTACCTTTGACGCGTCGACATGCGCGACGACTACCGGCACCTACGCTGGCGTTGACATGTGGACCGAGTCATCCGCCATGGCTTCGGCTTCCTCCTTGGTCTCGGCGTCTGCAGAGACTGCCCACGTCGGCATCGACATTACCGGTTCTGCTTATGCCTCGGTGCAGTCGCTTGCTCTCGACTCGCGCATGCGCGACTTTTCGCTCACTGACTACACCACAGTTGTCCTCCCCGCCAACGGCACTTGCGGTGAGAAGGTCCTTTTCCTCGGAGGCAAGAGCCAGGCTGGCCAGATGGCCCCTCTTGACCGCTTCTGGGCACTCGACATGGCAACTGGCAACTGGGAGCACTGGAACGCCACTGGTCTCATTCCATCCGGCCGTATGGGTCACACTGCAGTCGTGACTCCCGATGGAAAGGTCATTATCCACGGCGGGTACCTCGAAGACCCCTCCGAGTTCACCACGGAGAACGACCCTATCAACGAGGTGTTCATCCTCGACCCACACCAGTCGCCTGCTCGCTGGGATGCTGCGGTGTGGACGTCCGAATCGTCAGCTCCACCCGCCCTCGCCTTCCACTCGGCGGTCATGGCATCGGACGTGATGGTCACCTCATTCGGCAAGCTCAGCGATGGACCTCTGTCCGACTACTCTTCGCAGAGCTTCATCGCCTCGGGCCAGAATGCTGCTTCGCCAGTCCACTTCCTCGACACTGCTACCTTGTCGAATGCTGGCGGCCTGACGTGGTCCACCTCGGCAGCTGGTGTCGCAGAGGCACGTCAGGCAGTTGCCAACACCGTCGCTGCCGGCCAGGTGTCCGCTCCTACCCAATCCGAGGCTGCTCCCGCCCAACAAGCTCCTGTTGCTCCCGCCGTTGCGACCGAGCCAGTCCAGCCTGCGGCTATCGCTGCGCCATCAGAGGAGGCCAAGCCCGAAGTTGCTGCCCCAACTCCGGCTGCGGCTCCCTCCGATGATGGTGACAAGGCTGGTCAAAAAGACGGCGCTTCGGATGCGGGTGCCAACTCGAACCACACTGGCGCCATCGCAGGCTCACTCCTTGGTGCCGCTGCCGTGGCCGCTGCGATCGGTGGAATCTACGCTTATCGCAAGCGCAAGGAGGCCGCTGCCTACAACCTCGGCCGTGATGCCGGCAACCGTGATGCCGAAGCGGATCTTGCCCGCTTTCACGGCGATGAGGAAAAGGGAGATCGCGCACCGCCCGTCTCGAGCCTGTACCTTCGCGGCGATGGTGCCGTGGCTGCTGCAGCCGGGGGAGCTGGCTGGAGTGCGCGTCTGAAGCGAGCTGCCAGCACGCTGAATCGTTCCAAGCCCGAGGGTGGCGCTGCTGACGACAAGTACACCTCGACTCCAAAGCCGCTCATGACGCTTGGCAACATCGCGCCTCGCCGCAATGCGGGAGCCGCCGAGCCGCAGCACGAAACGGTAGCGAAGCGCGATCTTCCTGATCACTTTATCACCCAGCTAGCTGACGACGAGTCGCCGTTCGTGTTTTGCGACAACGAACCGTTGGGCCGCGGCAAGCTGCTCATGCCCACCGATGACGGTCGTGGCGAGCTCAAGCTTCTTCACACCAACGCCTCGCATGCATCCCTTGCCACCGTCGGAACGATCGAGTCGAATGCCGCTGCTTCGCACTTCTCGTACCCGTACCTCTCGGGCATGCACCGCGGATCTTCGCCGCGCTCGTACAACAGCGAGCACACGACTGGAGGTGTCCAGCGTGTGCGCGTCATCCTTGGCACCCCAGAGAGCTGCTACGACAAGATGCACATGTCGCCCGGTGATGTCGTCAGCCCCTACCATCTCCCGCGCAACCCTCATGCCAGCCCTGAAAGCCTCTTCCTCAATTTCGACCTGGACCACGCCCATGACGATGACCTCGACACCAATGTCGCTGTCGACGGCGTCTCGGTCGCTCCTCAGGATATCAGGACCCCCGTTTTTCCCTGGGACACCCCGGCTATCACCGCTCCGGCTCCGGCCAAGATCATTGAGCCTACGGGCAACGGTCGCACCATGTCGATGCTGCGTACTCAGCCCACGAGCCTCCACGTGACCAACGCTTGGTAGTTTCTTTTCCCTTCCACCTCGAGACCTCCGAGTGCTGTCCGCTTTGTAATTGTCTGTCCTGTCTGCGGCCCGTGCATATAGTGCACCCGGCTGCCGCGTCTAACTCAAGCCTTAGTCATTGTCTACCGTCCGTGAGCAGTGTGATTCGGCAAAAGGGTGGTTGGGTGAGGATGTGACTTCTGGAATGTGACTCATGAGAAGGTGACTTGCGGAGGGCGGGGATGAAGAAGGGGCAAGATGCGGTCAGAGTTCTGCTTTAGCCGAAAGGCGCTGTTTCATCAAGCCGCACCACCACAGCGGAGCGGACTTGCTGTATCACTTCGGATGGTCTGCTAGTTTGGAGACCGGTTTCTGATCGCAGGGTTGGACCTCCTGTTGTCGAACTGGTTTCCGTTGAGGTGGTCGATCACGTCGGTTCCGCTTAAGTTGCATGCCCAGCGGTGCAGAAGCGTGCTCTTGCCCTCGGTTAAGACCGCAAGTCGAGATCCCCACGTCAGAAAGAGTCTTGCAGACCTAGCAAGCTGGACGAAGACGTCTGGATTGACCTGCACGCCAGGTCC